GACCTTCGAAGAGCTAGGGAGTGGAGCCAAGCCCCCAAAAAATTGGACAGTGCATAGTCATACTAAGATGATCCCACTTTAATATGGAGGAACTCTGAAATCCCACACAATAATAGCTGTGGCGTAAATGGTTTTGGCGAGGCTACCTGGAGGTCACTCGGATGTACAGTGGGACCTCTAATGTTATATTCTATGCATAAGCCCTGTGGCTACCGCTAGTAAGACAAGATCCCACTGATATCGAGCCCAAACCCTCGGGGAGTTACAAGATATAGTTCTGTCTTAGATGTATAGCCCTAATTGCCAGCTGTAAATTTAAAATAAGATAAGCTGCTTAAAAGAAGATAAAAAATGTTCCATCAGAAACTCCTCATCAAGCTACAAGGATACAAAGTACAATATACCGAGAACATCCATGGATACTCCGTACTTGGGTTGAGCCTCGGTCAATGCATCGGTAAGGGAGCTCCGCTCCGCGGTACTGGGCTTCCGCTGTACAAATATGGTAATGTAAGAGACGAATACAATACCGTAAATAAACACCGAAAGCGGAAAAGCGCGAATCGGACCTGGAATTCATCGGCCAACCGGATCGTCCTTCCAGAAGCCTTCCAAATCGCGCTCGGTCTTCCATGGGCGTTGGCGCGTTTGACCATGGACATAGCTTGCAGCTTTCGAGGTTGAGCTCATGTCGGCATTTCTATATATTGATATGCCTTGCGGGATATATGATACCTCCTTGAAGTTTAATACAATTAATACAAGTAGTACTATTTGATTCTCTCAATATGGCAGCAATTCAAGATATTGATCTTGCGGGGTTTCGGAGTACAGAGCTCCTGGAATACATAGCTGATACACGTGATTCGTCTCCACCGGAGGGCCTAGAATAATAATTCAGGCCAATCACAGGTGCTGTAATTGTGTTGAGATTTGCAGATTCAGTGTGAATGTCGACTTTCTTGGCCCAGGGAAAACAGGCGGGGGCCAATCCCGATCGCCTCATTCGGGATTTCGCCGAATATTAATATCATTCGGAACAGCCACGAAACGTGGTATGTTGTGCATATATTGTAGTGGCAAATGTCGTGAAGTGATTTGGAACAGCTGATATGAATCTTGCCGCACTAATACTTAAATTTTCGATATGTCCCCTGAATTGAATAACAAGAATTCTGCAAAGCGTAGCTAGTCCAACTCTTAAAATAAAACCGCGCCAAAGCAAGGATCGGCTCTGTTCTAGAGCTCGAGAGGCCTAGACAGGGTTTGTATGGGTCCTGGCTGGCCGATCACTTCATAACGGAGGACGATCAAGAAGAAATCAACGGAGACTCTTGCGCGTCTTGAATTCGCCTCAATCATCGAAGAGCCTGGACAAAGCGATCAAAGCTGCATGCGAAGTGCCCTCGATCCTTGAACACCGAAAAGACGCCCTATTTCGAGCTCACGAGCGCGATATCCTTGCATCCTCGCATATCGTAGCTTTCGGGGATATGCTGCAGCTGCATCGGCTTGCCGATTGCACGTCGGGCGCACATCACCAACCCGATGAGCCAGTTAGGCGTCAATTCGTCAATCGTACAGCAAGCAGGCGACATCCACTTTTTCTTCCAACGACGCCTCTTCTTGAAGCCCTGATCGTGGAGGGGTCCGTGGGGGTTGGTACGCGGTACCCATAACATATGTATGTAACAAGTTGTATTAAGCCCCAAATAGGAAATGCGGAGCCGAAGTTGTCATGCGTGTACTCCGTGCGGCGTCAATTAGAAACTTTCAGTACCGGTGAAAAAGGAGACAGCGAATCCTGCCTGTCCCTGGTTCGGAGTGATCCACCGTGATACCCACTTTGCTGTATGAAGCTAAGATGAAGAAAGACTCTTCTGGCCGGGAAAGGGAGGAGTTAGCCCTAACTGGGCAGGTGGATTCTAGAGATGGAGGCTGGAATGCGAACGCAATGTATAGAGATTTGGTGATGGTTCTAGAGGAGGCTCTTGTTTCACCTTGAATGATTCATTGTCATTGGATCAGCATGGAAGAAAGGGGCTTGGGATAAAAGTATTGATCTGGGCTATATTGAGTCAATATTGCTTTTCCTCGGTGAGTACAGAGAACATGAGATCTGTTATATCCATGTTATTGGCTTCGTTTGGATGTCAGATGCTTGTTTCTCCTTTGTTTCTCCGGCAGTGAATGGTTCTATGTATTGGAGCCCCACGGCTCGGATATGACCGGACAGACTGGGGACGTTCCTAGAATGGAGATGATGTCGGGAGTTTTAGGAAGAAAAAGTCTTCATCCCCACATCAGTTCAAAGTTGGAGAAGGGAGTTGTACATACGTCATTTGCTGGGACGGGACTTGGACTACCACGTAGGTTAGACAATGTTAGGTCAAATAGGTGTCTATTGGTATTGTTTAAAGACGAGATGAGACGTGGAAGATAGTCGACGTGAGGTCAAGACACGTACGACATAACACATAGAAATAGATCTCGGGTGTCAAAATCCAGCGGCTCCACCCCCGGATCATGTGCACCGGTCATGTGCAGCTACCACATGACGACTGTGGACACCCGGTAAACCCCCATACTAAGGGTTACGATGTATACCCCATAAGGCTCCTTCTATTGGCATTGCACGCCACTCTGATTTACCCTCTGACACATCTCGAGGCCTCACACATCTCTTCATGGGAATAAGCAAATCCAACCGAGAAAGCACATGGAAACGCAATTATGCCAACAATGACATCAACGTGATAATTAGTCAAGATCTACACGTCAATCTTCATCCTTCAGGCAACTACTGCCAGTAAGACATGGCAAAATGTAAGCGAAGGCAAAATCATGATGAAAACATGCATAACCCAGGCAAGATCCATGTAAAAGATCTCCATGTAGATTACAATCACAATTACTCATGGTGTCATAATGAGGCCGTCCAGCGGAACGTGATTCCCTCCTGACAGTAGGTAGTAGTTTGTACGTCGTGCGGAGTACCGGTAGCACAACCCCACGCCTGAGTAAGCCCCCGGATTCAACGCAAAAGCAGGGAAGATACAAATCTCAAAAGTATACAAGTATCAACAGGCCTAGAACTCACCTTGCCAGCCACTCAGTGCAAGCCCAATCCAATCACCCTCACCCCCGGGTCCTCCGAGGAGCTGGCCCTGCGGAACATGCAGGGCGAGAAAGCCACCGCGGACTGAGTACTTAAGTTGTCGAGTCGATTGCAAGCCCACCACCTCCCGACTGCCGCGGGAGCTCTGGCATAAACTAATGCAAAGATGACATAGCTTCTCGTATGTGCCAGGGCCAATGCGAGGCCGAATAAAGAGGATTGCACCGAGGGATCTCGCCGGTCGATCGGGTCGGTTATGGTTATGGAACGGCTATGGACACTTCTCTTCGGTAAAGACTTCGGGGCTGTACGGGGTTAAATTAGCTTGTAATATCAAATATCAACATCACGACCTTTCAGGGTTAGAAGACCGTGATATGACATATGGTCAAATCCATAATTAGAAAAGAAATCCGAGTTTCTGGTCTGTGTTCTAGATCTGCGCGAACTGTTCGCTTCTCGGGAAAGATAGGTACTTTTGGCATCTTTTTCAAGATTCCGAACGGGCCCTGGGATATTAGGTGCGGTGCTTTTTGACTGACCCCTGTATTGATTTTTTTTTTCTGCATCCCACCTGACCTTTATTATTTTTGGCGCCCTGGGATCGGCGGAGATTCGCACTGAAACGTCCATTCATGAATCCATGGCTAAACTCTTATAAATACCTGTCTAGGCAGGTGGTACCGCATTAAGGGATATGCGATGATTTGATTCATAAAGGAGTGTAACTCTATCGTTTCCTATGTGGATGCCTCCGGGTGTGATTGTAGATCAACACTGATTTTCTTGGTTATGGGGAGTACAACATACGGCACTTGTAGATGTACCCAGTATAAGCTATTCTGAATAAGTATATATACAGTCAAGTATCGTTTAACCCACGTAGTTAGGCAATTTAATCCAAATGGATTATGACCACTTGAATAAGTACATGCAGACAGGTATCAGTGTTATGCGATAGACTCATCTCTCATACGTGTCAGCGCCACAAAGTTAACCCTGAATTTCCACATGATTATTCTGGCACTGTTATCGCAGGAATGGCTGTGCGCACCTCTGCTAGCCTCCGTGCCTCTCTGCAGCAGAGCTATAGCTATCTACTACAGTACGTAGATCCAGACCGCCAATCCAGGCATATGCAAGCCTCTTCTCTGATATCTAAGCCCGCAGTCAAGGAAATACGACATGCAGGTGAGGACAGGTTTTCTCTGATTTCGTTCATTGGATTTTTTGTTTTTAGCTGTCATCAGGTAGCGTACAAGTTCTGGCGGGATCGCGAAGATCGGTGCCGGATGAAGAATTGGAAAACATAAACGTTGTGGTATCAGGTATCGCGGAGAAAGAAAAAAAAACGACTACCTCTCCGATGATAATCGGGAGTGGGAAACAAATGCTAGGCGTTTTCTGCAGTCAAATATGGTCATGCAGCAAAAGACGCAGCGCTGAGATAGATGATAGCAATAAAACACCTTTTTTTGGTGAACTCTCCGGGCATGAAAAAGCCACCCGGAAATATCTTGGAAAGCGAGACGCAAAGAGACAAGACCCATGTGCCATCAACCGTTGATGACCCGAAAAAGGACGAGGTATATGAACTGTACATGGATATTAAGGTCGTAAGAAGAAAATAGCCCTCGAAATTGATGTTCCATAACCTCCATGCAGGACAAACGCCCAGTGAATGTCATGATGACATCCAGGCCCCGGGAGCCGATGAGATCGAGAAAAACAAAGCAGAAAGAAAAAGAATCCCAGATTTGCGCCATATATGCAATGCATGATCGTGATCGTACGTGTCAAGAAAGAAAAGCTGGGCTGTGTTGCAAAACGAGTCCGTGGAAATTCGAAAAGCGCGTAGGTGAGGTGGATCGCAGCGAATGAACTACCATCCCTTCACGTGGTACTCCCAGGGGCCGTAGTCAGTGGTGTAGTTGGTCCAGGAGCCATTCTTGCCCAGGTCAAAGTTGGCAGAATTAGGGTCTGCATCAGCACTAGCCTGGTTCGGACCAACTCCCTTGTGTGGACCCTTGGGACCAGGGTAATCCTGGAGGTTCTTCATGTCGTGGGCGGTGTGGCGACGCTTGAGGAAAGCGTTCGCAGTCGCGCTCTTCTGCTGGCGTTCCCAGAGAAGATGTCGGCGGAGAGACTCTGTCAATTCAGTAGCAAGCATGTTACGACGGGTGGTTCGCGGAGAGTGTGCCATAGACTGCGAGGCGTTGGTGTTCATGACAATAGGCTTCGATCGGGGAACATCAGGACCACGCATGACTAAGCTTTCCTCTTCCCTGTCAGGAGGTGACTGAGGAATAGATGGACCACTGGGTGAGGTCAACCGCGAGCGTTGAAGTGCGGGGCTGGACCGGAACGCGTTTCCTTGCATGCGGGCCGGTTGATGCATCATCATAGTAAGCATCGAGCGGCGCGAGACCAGGTTGGGCCGGGAATCAACCCGTTGGAACATCCCTCCTTGATCGTCAACGCTAGACCCGCCACCTTCAGTGATTGAATCTTCCCAATCAGAATCTTCATCATCTTCAATCGCACTCTCTGAGACTTCATCATCGGTCTCAATGGCGTCTTCGTCGGATCGACTGATGTCCTTCAAGTTAGGAATGATGTGGGACGAGACCTGATTGCTGAAAGAGGCAGTCTTTTTCGTAGATTCTGGGTTGCTGGTTTTCGGGTTCAACCCTCCACCGTTCGCGTTCTCCTGAGCAGGAACCATGCGCTCCTCAAATGAGCTTTCATCGTCATCCCCAGAGGAGCCGCCCAGTGTAAACATGCCTCCCTTCTTCCTCAATGCCGACGGCTTCAATTGTGTAGCGGCACGGGAAGGACTAGGGTCGATAGACAATCTTGGTTGCGATCTAAATGAAGATGAGATGTGTGATGGTGAGAATCCACGAACAATGCTAGTAGATTTGACCAATTGCGGCCGGCTAGAAAGAATGCCAGAAGATGAGACACTGGTATCGGACGCGTTGACCTGTGCAGTGTCGCTATCGTTGCCCTCGGGGGCAGTCGTCGAGCAAGACTCAGTCGACTCATGGGGGTATGGGGTCGGTCGGACGGAAAACTTCGGAACTTGACGAGCGGTAGAGACGGAAGGAGGAGTAGGGGTGGATGGGCGAGGAGTGATGTCGACAACGGGGGCAGCAGGCTCGACGTGAGAAGGCATAGGCTGCAGTTGCTTCTTTTCCTTGATGTTGAGGACCATCCGCTCCAAATCCAACGATGTGATGTGCTTCTCCTTTCCACGGCCTAGGCTTGCTAGTGAGTCCTCTCGAACGACAGCCGGTCGGTAGTCGTTGAACTTGGGACGCTTGATGTGAGCTTCGATTCGCTCGGCCTGATCAGACGCGGCCGACTCGACACTGGCGGAGAGTTCGGGCAAATCCGCAGCTTCGGATCGTAGCAATGGGAGGGCAGAAGTGCTGTTAGACTTTTCCGGTTCGACACAGAAGGTTTCGCGCGTCCACAACCGCCAACTGAGATTTTCAAGTCGACGGCCCTGGTCCATGTAGTCGGCACATTTTGAAAAGACTGCGCGAGAAGTCAGCAAAACAAGGTATCCCTCAACCAGCAGAATTGTCACTTACCCATCCACATCCCATGAAGACTTTGAGCGTTCGCGGTATCCACCTTATGGATATTGTCCGCGTCCACCGTCAGAACTGGTGTCGTTAAAGGCATTTTCGCGATGCCTCAACTAGCAGTTGAAGCGATTGTAATGATTGAGGAATCGTTGATTGATGTTTCCGGGGTCGCCGTCTCCCCCGATAGTGGTCGTACGGCGCTTAAGATGCGGTGGTGAAAGTTCGTAAGAATCAACCGGTTTCTGGATGGGCCTTGAAATTTGAGTCTGGGCCCTGAGATGTGTTGCAAGGGTCGATCAATCGGGTTTGGCGTCTAGGATTCAATCGAATGCTCACACGAAAGATGCGGATCGTGAAAGAATTTGGATTTTAAAGCAAGAGGAAGGATGGGGTGTCGAATGTCCGTCAGTTTTCCGTCAGAGCGCCACTGTGCGGAGATTCCGGGGCGAAGAATCGGAGAAACGGAGCGGGTATCGAGAGACCGGATTGAGATGAACCTTCGAGATTGACGGGTGTGAGAGAGATTGTAGGTTGGGAGAGTGAGGTGAACTGTTAGAAGGATCTGGAGAATAGAAGAGGAAGAGAAAGGGAGTCGGAACGATAATAAGAATGACGGGGGGCGGCACTTGTGGAGTGGAGTGGAAGGAGAGGGGGACGGTAATAAATTCGAAAATCAAAAAATCAAAATCGAAAATCGAAAATCGAAAATTGGAATATTTCCCTTTTAAGAAAAGAATAAGAATTTTGCGAATATTTGGTAAGAACATGACAATACAAGGGGAGAGATAATCCAAAATTCAAAAATACTAAAAGGCCGAAATAACTCCAGGCCGAGGATAACGGTCGGTGAAGGGGAAAATTCTATCGCATCACGGGGCCCTGAATTACATCGATACCTGTTCCATGTATTCGGATACACCTTACCATGGTTCCAACCGTCTTCCACCACGACTTTAGACTTTCCTTTCCTTCCTCCTAAAAATACCTCTGTAATGTCAATACCAGTTTCTGTTTCGATCCACGGAGTACTGATTACCTAACTATTGAACCGTCCGACGGTGAAATCAAGGTTCCCTGCAAAGCTTCAATTTCAATCTCTTTAGTGCTAAAGCCGAACTATGGTAGCTGCTTCCACATTCATATCAAAGAATGAGAAATCATCAATGCTTTAAGTGCCTGTGACCTGTCGGGGCAAAGAAAATATATAAATGATAAAATAATAGAAAGAAAATGCCAAAATGTACTGATCGAAAGACGGCAACACTCCAACGCGGTAGTTGCAGTGACTGTCCCGAAGTCCAGACCAGGGCTCTCTCTACGCCACTTCATGTATCTCAATGGTCGTTGGACATTACTTCTCGCCACTGACAATCCATTCTTCACTCCTGTATGTAAGAAAAGAGGTCTACTGACTGATGAACTGTCAAACTGCTAGTTATTGGTGCTGACAGGGTCGATGGTCCCGCTGACCTGCCAAACTGATGTCGCGTTTAAGCTATTTTCGTCACGGACGCTCTACATTCGGGCTATGGGGTACACTGCGTACAAAAGACTAGGGATCGGTCTAAGATCCCAGGCCACGTTGTGGTCACCGATATGGGACTTGAGGCTCGTTCATTCTCGAGCCTATCATGGCCGGAAGTATGAATTGTCATGAGCTCAAGGTTATAGTTAGACATTGAAACATAAATAATTCCGGTGGAAATTATACACTTTCCTATAAGCGCCTCATTCCTCTAATGGCTGTTTGGTTTTTGTTGATTCCGGCTGAGATCTGTGTTATTCCCCAGCTTTTTCCCCCGCAAGCAGCTATTATCCAGGAGAAAGGGATAGTGTAGTTCCAAGCCCTGCTGCATGCCGGGGAACCAGCGTACCTCTTCCATAGTAGATCGTTTTCCGTTTTGGATGCATTGCTTTGTTTCAAAACAGGTATATTTTATCTACACATCTCTCATCGGTGAGGATTCCGAGGGATATTCTAGGAAATTACTTTAGGCCTCAATCATGTGGATGAAAAAAAGAAAGTCAGCCACAGCTTCACTTGAAGCAGGGAGTGAGCCTTACCGCCCTTTCTCTTTTCTTATCTTCCGAATGGACACATCCTAGTTAGATTTTCTATCTTTGACTATCCAAATAGGACACGACAGTCGAGAGTGTCACAAACCTAGGCTACATCGTCACGAGTCTGCCAGCTGTCATTGTAGTGTTGGTTTCCTTGAAGAGAAACGGATTGACAGCAGGCCAGAATACGTAAGAAGATTTTCTGTCACGGGGGTGGAACGCTTACAGCAACCCTTGCCCTTAGGCCCGGACTGGCGGAAAGGAACCATCTTTCCCTACTATACCCGGGCGCCTGGAAGGCCGATCAGGGCAAAGTCGCACCAGGCGCACGTTTCATCTATCATGTGATATTGTACCATGAGATCCCTGACTATAAGAGAAAATCGCTCCTACCTATATAAGTAACTGATCTGACCAAGTCGTTATTCCCTGTCATTATACGGGGTATGATTATCTATATGACATAGAAGTTTGTAAGCTGTCATCATCTAAGACTCTGAAAATGTACCCAGACTTCAATAAGATTTGCGGGGATATGGATGAGAAAATCAGTCTAAAATCGGTTCATCGGAATAGCTGTATGAAGGTCGTTTGATATTTCGTTTCCTTAGTAGAAGATCCCAGTCAAAAAGGTATCAGCCAGTCAATCACTGTGCACTTTTTTTCACCACAAAAACTACCGGAGTCGTCTGATTCGTTCAAAACAGTTCGTTCGTAACAGACGTAACCCTGCGGATGTATGACACTACACAATCATCTACAGGATGCGAAACATTGTCTGGGCTTATGCAACCTGATTTTTTCATAGCTGCTGACCCCCTTCCTATCTGCGAAGCTTACACAGCAAGTCCATGGCTTATGGAAGTCATCTCGACAATCAATCTGATAAGAGAAACAACGAAGTGCAATGAAAGAACCCATCTCTCTTGACTCATCTACTCGTCTACACATCCAGCTGTCTCACTGGCTACTATTCAGGTGGTACCAGATGGTATTGTGGAACCGCACGTAAGATACCTCATTAAACCACCTGGGCAGGCACGCTGCATAGCGATCGCGTTAAGGATGCGGCTGCCAATAGCTTGGGACTGGGAAAATGGAAGGTCACGCCCCACTTGGACCAGGGCATAGGATACCAGGGTACCGAGGTCTCAACGGATTCCCGCAGGCGATGGGGAACCAGTCAGACTCAGATGTGTCATTATTATATGCGCTGTACAATACCATGGTTGTCATGAAATGATCACGGGCAGACGGAGGCGCCAAAACGGAATGAGACCGAGCCTAGGGCCGTGGCAGATGGCACCTGATGTACGGAGTAAGCGCAGGCCATAACAAGGAGCGCGCTTCAGGATTGCAATAGCTCCACATAGCGTTGATAGGGCAAATTCGGGAGCTGGGGTATCAGTACCCACAATCGCATGCCGTGCAACTCGCGTATCCAGGTATAATGACCATATTCTGTCTAATATGAGCATAATAAGCCGAACGGACAGCTCATAAAGTGGCAAAGTCACGCGCAGGTCTCGTCACATGATGTGGGGTTCCAGGAACCGCGCCACCTCAGGGGCTCGTGACTTCCCCGTCTTTTACCATCTGATTCTCTTGAGATCTACTCGTACTGGCTCCTAGATTTGGGCTTTGGGCTATGTTGATGAATCGCCAATCACCTTAGTTCATGTGACACGGAAAAGGGCCCCATCTCCATTTCTCTTATCTTGTCATTGTAGTCCTTGGCTCATTGATTCGCGCAACGGCTTGAGATGACAGCTACCTGCCCGACCCAATAATGATGTGAGCTACCTAGGTACTAGCACGAAAACAAATACTATCAGCTTTTCGAATCTATCTACACGGACTCGAAGCCGCAGGGGTATCTAGATCCCCTATCAGGCGAGTATCACTGTCATACAGCATATTGACTCACCTCCCATCGTATCATACCTAGATATAACAAAGAGCTCTATCAGGGATTCGACAGCAAATAATCATTAAAAGGACCTTGAACCTGTAGTTTTGAATCGACAGATTAAGCTTAAATGTGTCACTGGTCCCGAATCAACGTGCTTCGCATCAACAAACTAACGGAGTCACTCTTCCAATGTGACAGCCGGTGCCTGTCACCATCTCGAATGACCAAACATCTAGCGGATAACGGTGTACGGGAGGGTAACTATCGTCAATTATTTACTCCTATTCATTCCCATGGCCTTGAGGTCAAGGCGATCACGAATTACCGCCGTGTCGGCCTCGTAACTCTTTGTCTTGGATGTTGATACGGAGTATAGATCGCAAAATTGAGCGATGATACGGAGTAGTAGATAGGATATGTCGCGACTTTTAGACGGCCCGAGGGGTTCTCTTTGTATCACATCAACGAGGCAGCGAATCACATCCCTCCAATTTCTCCCACTCTATTCGTAGCCCGCTTCCCCGGCTTAAATGTCTATGCTCGGATCAAATCTTAGTGTCCGATATATATATTCGAATCGGTAATTAATTATGAAAAGGAGACCGGTCACGTATTAATTGAGACTTGAGACTTTGAGCAAGAAGTCTATATGTAAGCTAGTTTAAGAGTTGACTGGTACGAACAAGGGATACTCGCGGGCAGCGGAATCGAAGCGGGACATAGTTTTCTAGATTTACAGAGTCAGGTGGATAGTTGATAAACTCAATCTAGAAACATTCATACCAAGTGAGTCGGAACAACATGCATTTGCGATATTCTTCTACCAGGTACGGAATACTCCAAGTACGTAATGATGCGTTCGTGTCCTTTCGCCCTGTTCTCTCTACTCTGCAAAGATCGGCCTATCTATAATGCATGTGACCTTCAACTAGGGATATCCAGGGAATCTTCCAGATCGAAAGCTTGCTGTATCCGCGAGGCTGATAGGCCCCGTGAAACTAGCTGAGACGAAGATGGGATGTGGGTTTCTGAATTCTGCGATCCAGCCGGAAGCAGGATTCCCATATCCGCGACGATCATTTTCTTCTGAATGTCTTCGGCTTCTTTCATACGTTTGGCTCTCT